ACATATCGAAACGAAAATAAGTAATTTATTTTCCGGTTTTTGCACAGCAAAATTTAAATTAAAAAGAACAAGACACATTTTTTTACTTTGCATTTTGGAGAAGAAGCATACTCAAGTTCGCCAAGAATAAGACATATTTCAGTGTTATTTTATTTTGCAATTTGTATAATTTGTTCTTGTAGAAACACATTGCTTATTGTATTAATACAGTGATTAAATATATTATATTTTAATTATTATTTAATATTAAAGAAAAAAAAAACGAAATTCACTACTACGAAATTCACTACTTATTAAGTAAGTAACATATTTAAATATTCACTAAAAAAAGTAATTAAAACATAATTACTAATTATAGTAATTCAAAAAGGCTAAGATGTTACTTAATTACATATATTAAATTAAAGAAGTTGGCCAAAAAACAAAAGTAAAGAAACTAATTTTATATTTTGAAATTAAAAACAAAACATCTCTCCCGACGAAATGTCGTCGGGAAAGATCTATGCCGACAAAACTTTGTCGGATTAGATCTCTCCTGACGAAATTTACCTATGCCGGCGAAATTTCGTCGGGAAAGAGATTTTCTTAAAAATAAATATAAACTTAGTATGTTTAGGTTAATTCATCTTTAAAAAAATTATTTTTAGTAATTAAACAATATCTTGCCTTATCTAATTAGTTAAATTAGTAATTCTATTTTAATTATTATTTCTTTAGTAAATAATTAGTGTCAAATATTTTCATTATCTTCATGAATTGTAATACTTAATAAATAGTAATTCAATTTTTCTATTTTTTTTCCTTTAATATTCACTAAGTAAATAATAACTAAAACATAACTACTAATCCAAGTAATTCAAAAAGAGAGGTCCTTATTACGCTACTTAAAAGGGCCATACTCTAAAATATTATATTTTTTGAGTACAGCCGAACGGCTATACTATTTTGGAAGAAACATGAATAAAACAGAGTATAGCCGGCCGGCTATATTATTTTAACAAGAAAGAAAATAAAACACCAAGTATCGCCGCACGGCTATACTATATACATACGTATATATATAAGGATGACCCTCCTTGGGATTAGCCACGTGTCAAAATTAGTATAGCCGAACGGCCATACTATTTGTAAGAAATAAAAAAAAAAATAATACATATCGAAACGAAAATAAGTAATTTATTTTCCGGTTTTTGCACAGCAAAATTTAAATTAAAAAGAACAAGACACATTTTTTTACTTTGCATTTTGGAGAAGAAGCATACTCAAGTTCGCCAAGAATAAGACATATTTCAGTGTTATTTTATTTTGCAATTTGTATAATTTGTTCTTGTAGAAACACATTGCTTATTGTATTAATACAGTGATTAAATATATTATATTTTAATTATTATTTAATATTAAAGAAAAAAAAAACGAAATTCACTACTTATTAAGTAAGTAACATATTTAAATATTCACTAAAAAAAGTAATTAAAACATAATTACTAATTATAGTAATTCAAAAAGGCTAAGATGTTACTTAATTACATATATTAAATTAAAGAAGTTGGCCAAAAAACAAAAGTAAAGAAACTAATTTTATATTTTGAAATTAAAAACAAAAATAAAAACAAAACATCTCTCCCGACGAAATTTCGTCGGGAAAGTTCTATGCCGACAAAAATTTGTCGGATTAGATCTCTCCTGACGAAATTTACCTATGCCGGCGAAATTTCGTCGGGAAAGATTTTTTCTTAAAAAGAAATATAAACTTAGTATGTTTAGGTTAATTCATCTTTAAAAAAATTATTTTTCAGTAATTAAACAATATCTTGCCTTATCTAATTAGTTAAATTAGTAATTCTATTTTAATTATTTTTTCTTTAGTAAATAATTAGTGTCAAATATTTTCATTATCTTCATGAATTGTAATACTTAATCAATAGTAATTCAATTTTTCTATTTTTTTTCCTTTAATATTCACTAAGTAAATAATAACTAAAACATAACTACTAATCCAAGTAATTCAAAAAGAGAGATCCTTATTACGCTACTTAAAAGGGCCATACTTTAAAATATTATATTTTTTGAGTACAGCCGCACGGCTATACTATTTTGGAAGAAGCATGAATAAAACAGAGTATAGTCGGCCGGCTATATTATTTTAACAAGAAAGAAAATAAAACACCAAGTATCGCCGCACGGCTATACTATATACAGACGTATATATATAAGGATGACCCTGCTTGGGATTCAAATAAAAATACTAGAAATCAAATTCCCACCAAATCAAAATATGAAAAATCGGTTTTAGTGTAAAATACGATTTAGGCTAAAAATGATGGCTCATTAAGTCAATATATACTTCATACTAAAATCCCATAAAATCAAGTTTTCTTATTTGATGTGTAAGGAATAAAAGCCGCCAAAAATTATCTTGAGAAAATGATTATTTCGAAAAACCATTTTTCATACTTAGTCAATATTTTTACATAAAATATTTTTTCATGTATGATATGAATGCATAAAGGGACCTAAGTTTTTTTTAATTTGTGAAAGTTTGATTTTTTTTCCTTTCTATTGGGTTTAATGGGAGAAAAAGCTTTAAAGATATTTGCTAAATCGCTACTCTTTGTCTATCTCTTACAATTTTTCTTTCTTAGAATGTATTTGTCTATCCCTTTGTCGAGGACAATATGATTGCAACTAATAAGCAATATAATTCTTGACATATGTGATATATATACACTATTTTTCATATGTATTGTGAGTTCGAATGGTTGATTCTTTATAATTTGCAAGAGGCCCCCACACACATGAAATCCTGACTTTGCCACTAACATGGTTCCTTTTTTTTATTTGGCTAGATCCCATTAATAAAAGTAAAATAAGAATATAACCTAAAAAGGGAATCGTATGATTTAAAAATCTTAAAAAATAGACCGAAGATAAAAAATAACATTTTTTTGTCGAAATTTGATGTCATTAAGCAAACCCCAAGCGGGAAGAAAAAAAATACAAAAGCCTGAGGCTCAAAGCAGCAACCAAAAACCGATTAAGAGGCAAATCATGATCATTTTCAGTGTTTGCTAACACTTTAGGAATCAAAACAAGAGTGGGCCTGCATCCATACTCTTGAAAATTCAGGGATCGGATTCCATGGTGACGGGGTAGTATTATGATTACTAATAATCATGAGTCATGTTTTTTTTTTGTTTTTTGTTTTGTTTTTTTTTTTTGGGTGTCAAACGATAGGAAGATATATTAGAATCGGATAGAAAGTTTTACATCTTTAGCCAAAGTATCATGTATTCATTCTGATTCGAAGTTAATAAGCATGCTATAAGTTAAAAAATAAGCAAACTAATGAGAAGATACACACACTCTAAATTCTATCTCATACGAATTATTGATAGACTTTCAATAGGCTTAGAATTTTCTTTGTTTTTGTTTTTTTTTCTCAATACAATTTTGGTGCATGAACTTTGGCTGTTTTGGAATCTAGCACCACAAATTTCAGAGAAACGGATTATTGGCCCACTACTAACAATATCGATATTGTCTCCAACTTAACCACCTGTTTATTTTATTTTTAATTTATTTATTGTTTGATTTTAGTTCAATTTGGGGTTTTATTTGATTTGAGTTTGTTTGATTTGGGTTTAATCGGGCCGAGTCAACTTAGCTCTGATACCGTGTTAAATTTAAGAGAGACGGATCATTGGCCCACTACTAACAACATCGATATTGTCCCAAACCTAACCACTTGTTTAGCAGGTGTGGGGTTTTATACAAAAGGCCTCGATGTTATTAGCCATTCATTATATGAGACTTTCTATTTTGTTAAATTTCTGATGTGGGATTGTGTGTATTCTTTAGCACACAATACATATTGCTGAATTAATCTAATGTACTGGGAGGGGGATCGAACTCAACTGTAAAGGGGCGAGCACATTGCTGGACTAGCTCCTTAAAACTGAGGATCCTTCTCAAAGCAAATGGGGTTTTGAGACTTGTTAATTTTTTTTATAATTCCTTTTTTTGTGTGCCAAAGTTAGGAAGTGGGAGAGAGGGGAAAACTCACACATAGGTACCATGGGGGTTTGAACCCAAGACTACTTGGGAGCATATCAAAGGCATGAGCCAACCCAACTAACATTTCATTGGTTCCTTTTCAATTCTTTTGACCCTTTTTTCTTTTGGAATTGGGCAAGTGTAAGAGTCTTATTTGTTGTGAGGAGGAGGAGCTCTTCCTTAGTTTTAACGAGCCAAAGTGTACTCTTTAATTTATGAGCATGGCTTCGCTCCTTAAAATTATGGAAAAACTCCTTAAAATCAATGGGATTTTGACACTTGTCAAATTCCATTAACATTGACAAAGTTTTAACAAAAAAGAATATTAAAATAATATGACACGTGTCAAAACCACATTGGTTATAAGGAGAGTTGAATTAAGTGGAGGAACATATGTCAAAATTTTGGAAGAGTACAGAGGATTTATTAGACTTTTCACTTCCTCCATGTATAAGTTTTCTTCCACATCTATTTTCTGCACTTACTTAAATTCCTTGTTAATCTATTACAGTCTTCTTCAAGATTTTCAGCCGAGAAAATTAATAATGACAGAAGATAACCATGCAATTGGGATAGATCTGGGGACAACTTATTCGTGCGTGGCAGCGTGGCAGGCTGATCATGTAGAAATCCTGGTGAACGATCACGGCAACAGAACAACTCGATCTTATGTTACATTCACTGATAGTAAGAGGTTGGTAGGAGATGAAGCATTTAACCAAGTCGGGAGGTTCCCCGCCAACTCAATCTTCGGTAAGATTAAAATGATATGATCAATTATACTTAATTGTTTATTTGTTTCCTTTCTGACATAATAATCTAAAAATGATTTTACAGATGCAAAGCGGTTAATTGGTAGGAGATTTAGTGAAGAAACTGTTCAAAATGATGTCAAGTGCTGGCCCTTCAAGGTCATTGAAGGTCCTGCAGACAAGCCCTTGATTGTGGTTAACCACAAGGGTGAAGAGAAAAAATTTGCTGCTGAAGACATCTCTTCCATGGTTTTGGCAAAGATGCGGGAGATTGCCGAGTCCTACCTTTGCTCAAAAATTTCTGCAAAAAATGCAGTTATCACTGTCCCCTCTTACTTCAACGACTCACAGCGCCAGGCTACAATAGAGGCTGGCAAACTAGCGGGCTTAAATGTGCTGCGTATTATCAACGAACCAACTGCTGCAGCCATCGCTTATGGAATCGACAAGAAGGCTGGTTGGTTTAACAAGAGAAATGTGATGATATTTGATTGGGGTGGTGGTACGTTGGATGTGTCACTACTTACCATAGGCCATGGTGTCTTTGACGTGAAGGCAACTGCCGGAGACACTCACCTTGGCGGTGAAGACTTGGATAACAGAATGGTGAATTACTGCGTCGAAGAATTCAAGACAAAACAGAACGTGGACATTGGTGGAGACGCCAAAGCTCTTCGGAAGGCCAAAACTGCGTGTGAGAAAGCAAAGAAGGCACTTTCGTTTTCCTTTGACACTGATATTGAAATTGACTCTTGGTATAAGGGTGAAGATTTTCATACAACTTTTACCCGCGACAAATTCGAAGAACTGAACATGGACATCTTCAACAAGTGCATGGAGCCTGTTAACAAGTGTTTGGAGGATGCCAAAATGGACATAAGCGAGGTCGATGACGTTGTTCTTGTTGGTGGGTCTTCTAGAATCCCCAGGGTTCAAGAGCTATTGCAGGGGGTTTTCAAGGGTAAGGAGTTGTGCAAGAGTATTAATCCCGATGAGGCCGTGGCGTATGGAGCCGCTGTTCAAGCCTCAGCCTTGAGTGGGAATGTAACCGGAAAGCTTCAAGACTTCACTCTCTTAGATGTCACCCCTCTATCACTTGGGTTGGAGACTATGGAACATGATAGTTCCAGGTTATACATGAATGTTGTGATTCCAAGAAACTCAAGAATTCCGGTGAGGAAGACAACAAGTTTAACTACTGTTGATGACTACCAAGAGTCTGTTACCTTCCCCATTTATGAGGGTGAAAGTAAAGTAGCCAAAAATAATAATTTTTTAGGTGCATTCACCCTCCATGGCATTCCTCCGGCTCCCAAGGGGGTTCCCAAGTTCACTGTTTACTTTGATATGGACGCAAATGGAGTTTTGAGTGTCTCTGCTGAGGATATGTCCACTGGCCAGAAGAAAGGGATCAAAATCAAGCGTGACAGAACAAAGTAACTCTTTAAGGGAATATTAAGGATTAAGATAGCATCTACTATGAAGTAATTATTTTCTTTGATTTCATGTTTAAGTACAATATCTTTAAGGGAAGTCGATGTGAACTTCTTTTGCTTGTGCATTTCGTGATTTGCTGGTTTTTTTCCTTCTCTGGGTTGGGGTGCGGGGGAGTGTGTTGTAAAAGACTTGCCTGATTTGTAGCGCACACATCTTATAAGTAAAAACATATTTCTTCCCGCAAACATTCAAGAGAGCTTCAGTTTTTATTTTTGATTCAATTTTTGTGTCTTGCTCCTTATTTCTTCCCGCAAACAAATGAAGGAGATTTGTTATAACGTTGTGCAAAAGTTTAATTTGGTACATATTACAGACACAAGAAGATAATTTTATAGTGATAGAATTATATTTACAAGGTAATTTTATAATGGGTAAATAGATTCACACAATTGTCCAATATACCCGCAATAAATCACAACTAGATATCAAATTCATCACAAATATATATCATTCTCACCATCTATGTGAGTCGAACTTGAAATCTCCTCCAACCAACTGAGGATAAATACCACTAAATTAAAAGATAGTTGATTAGGGCAAATTATTATTGTAGTATTGATTTTTTTCTTCCTTTCAAAAGAAAATTTAAGAGTCTATGAACACCATCAATTCACTTTTATATATATAATATACAGCTAAATGGAAATAATATACTCCACTTACTCAATTATTAAAATGCATTCTCTCACTAAGAATATGGAAACGCAGCATGATTGAATGAGGAGATATGAGTGGCACAACCTTTCTTCCTACTCTGAAGGGAGTCTTTCAATGAAGTTCTTTACTTGACCCCAAAAGAAAAAATAAAAATTCTTCCTCGCAAGACACAGAGAAATGATCATGCAGCTCCAAAAAAAATTATTTTATTTTATCTCTTTGTTGGAAAATATTTGATTCATATTCATTCCCTTGGAAGTTGGAAGTAGTCAACTTATTTACCAGTTATGTCTTGACACGTGCAGAAATTCTTGCTAAGGTTTTGGGAAAAAATGGAGCTAAAGGATTGTTCCTCTTTGTTTTTAGTCAGTCAATTTAGTTGTGCTAGTAAATAAATAAATAAATCGTGTCAGTGGCAGAACATGAAGGGCAATGTGAGTTTAGGTTTCTGACAAATAATTTTTTAAATGAGTATATAACAATTTCACAAATTATTACTGAACATGATTTAACTGTTTTTGTTCTAGAAAAATGTTTTCAAATTAACAATTTCACAACTACATTCTTAGATATAGAAAATGCAAATTTGTTTTCCCGTTTTGCTATATTGTATTAGTTTTGTTATGCATATATGATTTTTTTTTCTTTCTTGTTTTTATCCTTTATGGCCACTGTCATGAGGATTCTTCCTAACCTTTTTAGCTTTCTATCATGACCAGGACTTTCCAGCTGCCATCTTTGATTTATTTATACTAGTCATTGTGACTTTTGCTTTTTGTTTTTTAAATATCGGGAGAGTGACTTTTGCTTATGGTGATCCCCTTCGTCCTCATATTTTTTTGCTTTCTAATCTATCACGACCAAGACTTCCAGCTGCTTTTGTTATATATTCCATGTATATGGTGACAATCGTGTTTGATTATTCAAAATGAATCACCAAGGAAGTTGCGCACACTCAAAGACACAGCTAAGCAAGACAATCGTGTTATGTTATTGTGCCAAACAAAAATTCCATGAAAACATTAGCTGAGGTACGTGTTTAAAGTAGTGTCTAAATATCAACAATGAATCAAAGTTTCACAAACCCAAACAAATCATAGGCAAATAGAAAATAAATCGATGTTTCACAAATCCAAACAAATCATAGGCAAATAGAAAACAATAAAATATAAGAGAAAGATTAACCAATCTTAATTAAGTGAATCAACCCAATTGAAACTTGATAATATATTATATGGAGAGTAGCGAATAAACAAAAGTCACAAACCTTGTTTCCAACCTAATTATAAGAGTAGGAGAAATGGGTGAACATTATGATCCATATCCATCGCCAGATAGTACAATCAAAATTGTATACTTTTCTCGTCTTCATTCATAGATTATTCTTACAAAAAATTAGACAAATTGAACATCATTAAGACACCAATGAGGTGTTAGTTGGATTGGCCCAGACCTTTGGTGTGCTCTCAAGTGGTCCTAGGTTTAAGTCCCCATGGTACTAGTGTGAGTTTCCCCCTCCGCCTTCCTAACTTTAGCTATAAAAAAACATCATTAAGGCATACAATTATGACCAACATAATAGACACCCATTTATGACAAACATGGTGCTTCCAAAAATAAAAGAATAAAAAATAATGACAACTATTATTTGAGTAGTCAAATTAATGGTTTCGAATTGAAACCTTTTTTTTTCCAGAGATGATCTTTGAAAGAATAACTAAAAGTTAGACAATTCGGATTATTGAAATATAATGCAAGAGTAAGCCTTACGAGGGTGTCTATTAAATAATTTGAGGGATCATTAAGCTTATACATATATATATATATTTTTTTCAAATTAAGATAATAAACTCGTTACTCATCAACTTCCCCTCCTTACCGACTGCCAAAAGAAAAAAAAAACTCATCAACTTCTGCTTCTAGCCAGTCTCCTGGACCTGGTGCTTCCATGGCCGTAGAGAACATGCCACTATGTCCGGTTCCAATCAAACTTACGAGTGATATATATAACTACCAACAGTGGAAATACTACTCTCTTTCATATTTTGACCACTACAATCTTTCTGGAATCATTCATGGAACAGAGCCTCGTCCTAGCCTACTTGAGTCTACCTTTAGTAATTGGTCCGGCAGAGATCAAAAAGGTTTGAGTTGGTTCAACAGAGATCAACATGCTTTGAATTGGATGAAAGCCACTCTATCTGAAAGTCTCCAACAAATAGTCATGCCCGGAGCTGACTCTTCACGAAAGGTCTGGCTAAATCTCGAGGAATACTTCGACCATCTCTCTCATGCTCGCATCTATCAGCTTAAATCTGATCTACACAAAGTGAAGAAAGATCCCACCATTCCAATGGCTGACTTTCTGGAAATAATCAAACTACTGGTGGCCGATCTTGCAGCTGCCGGTGCTCCTCTGGAATTTCCCGACCTAGTTCATGTACACGTCCTGGCGGGATTACCAGAGGAGTACAATCCCGTTCGTGCAAGGATAAACCACTCTCCAGTAAGTGGTTGGGATGAGTTGTATGACTTATTGTTGAAAGAGGAAATGCGTCTGGATCCACGGCGCACGTTAAAACTTAGACATGCTTCTCCTGCCTCTCCTCCTCAAGAAAAAGAAGAGTACGCAATCGGGATCGATCTGGGGACAACCTATTCCCGCGTAGCAGTGTGGGACAAGGATCATGTAGAGGTTATACTGAACGATCACGGGAACAGGAAGAGTGCATCTTACGTTGCCTTCACTGAAACTGATGAGACTAATTTGGTAGGTGATGCAGCATTTAACCAAGTCGTCAGAAACACAGCCAACTCCATCTTTGGTACGTATCATATTCATATGTAGGATTAAAGTGATCAATTTTTCATTATAACTGCATGTTTACGGTCTCCTTTTTAATTCTGTTCACTCATATTTCTTTACTTATCACTTAGAACAATAATCATAAGTGTATATGAGAAATTTTAACTTTTTCTAAGCTATCTAGCAGCTAAATTTTAACTTTTTCTAAACTATCCATAAGATTTGCTTGAACAAATCCAAAGATTGATTTTGATTTTTACTTCCCGGACCCAGCTAATATGTGTTTGCATCATTGCATGAATTGTAGTTTAAGATTTTAGGAAGTTAAAATTGTCTTAACTCTCAGTAAGATCCTTCCAAGGTGGAAAAAAAAGTTGTGTATTGGTTAAGAAGCTATTATATTAAATACCTACTTAAATTCGTACTATCTGATAGAATTTGGCATCCATTTGCAGATACAAAGAGGTTAATCGGTAGGAGATTCAGTGACGCCTCTGTTCAAAGTGATGTGAAGCTCTGGCCATTCAAGGTCATTGAAGGTCCAGGTGACAAGCCCGTGATTGTGGTCACCCACAATGGCCAAGAGAAACAATGTTCTGCTGAAGATATATCATCCATGGTTCTGGAAAAGATGAGGAAGATTGCCGAGACCTACTTGCGCTCAACTGTGAAAAATGCAGTTATCACCGTCCCTGCTTACTTCAATGACTCGCAGCGCCGAGCTACAAAAGATGCGGGCATCTCTGCTGGCCTAAATGTGTTGCGTATTATGAACGAACCCAGTGCCGCTGCCATTGATTATGGCCTTAACAAGAAGGCCGGTTGGAGTAGCCCGCGAAACGTGATGATATTTGATTTGGGTGGTGGCACCTTAGATGTGTCATTGCTTACCATGAGCACTTCTGGTGACTTTGAAGTCAAAGCAACGGCTGGAGACACTCACCTTGGCGGCCAAGACTTCGATAACAGATTGGTGAACTACTGTGTTGAGGAATTCAAGAGGGAGCATAAATTGGACGTTAGTGGAAATAAGAGAGCTCTTAGGAGGATAAAAAATGAATGTGAGAAGGCAAAGAAGAGACTTTCATTTGAGTCTGACATTGGCGTTGAAATTGACTGTTTGTGTGAGAATACTGATTTCACCATAACTTTTACTCGTGCCATATTTGAACAAGTAAACATGGATTTATTCATCAAGTGTATGGATCCAGTGGCAAAGTGTTTAAGGGATGCTAGCATGGACGTAAGCAGTATCGACGATGTTGTTCTTGCCGGTGGCTCTACTAGAATTCCCATTGTGCAACAGCTATTACAGGAGTTTTTCAAGGGGAAGGAGCTGTGCAAGGGCGTTAATCCGGATGAGGCAGTGGCATATGGTGCCGCAGTTCAAGCGGCAGCCTTGACTGGGAAAGGAAAGGGGGAGTTTATTCAGGACTACACTCTCAAGGACGTCACTCCTCTGCCACTTGGTGTGGAGGTAGCAGACAAGAAATTCATAAAGTTGATTCCAAGAAACTCTCTAATTCCCGCGAAGAAGAAAGTAAAATGTTCTATTAAAGTCCCTAAGGATAACCAAGTTTTGACCACCTTCCGCATGTATGAGAGCGAGAGTAGAATGCCAGCAAATCTCAACTATTTGGGTGAATGCAGCCTCCGTTACATTCCTCCAGCTCCCAAACTTGTTCATAATTTCGATGTTTTCTTCGAAATTGATCCCGATGGAATCTTGAGTGTCTTCACTGAAGATAAGTCCTCTGGCCAGAAGAATGAGATCATAATCAACCGTGACAGACCGAAGAACTTTAAGGGAACTGAGAGAGAGGTGAGAAATTATAATCAAACTCTGAAATAGCATATATTATAAAATCAAACTCTTTGATATATCTTTACTTGTGCCAGGTTATGTTGTTTTAAGGTGAAATCATGTGTTTGTGATCTACTTCATCCACGGGATACTTGCAGCCCCAATATTCCTTACCAACTATGGCCGTCTACACTAC